TCGACCTGCTGGGCTCCGGCGATCCTTCTGCCTCAGCCTTCCAAGTAGCTGGAATCACAGGCGCACGCTACCACACCCAGCTAATTTTGTTTATTTATTGTAGAGATGAGGTCTCGCCAAGTTGCCCAGGCGGGTCTCGAACCCATGGGCTCAGGTAATCCACTCACCTCAGCCTCCCAAAGCGCAGGATTACAGGCTGAGCCACCGAGCCCGGCTGCTAGAACTTTTATTCTAATGTCCCAAATCTGTCATTTTCTAGATAGAGGTTCATAGGCATATGGCCAGTGAGATGGGTATGTCTTGCTTTGAAATTTGGCTGGTACCTATTAGGTACAGTTTCAAGTGTGTTTTCATTGAGTGATAAGATGCCTTAAACAATGAAATAAAAAAATTAGTTGAAAAATCTAAGCAATTAAATACCCTTAGACCTAAGGAAGAGCAAAGGCATTCTATTTTTAAAAAAATTTTTGCAACTAATTTTGATTTGTTTCTCTTGGTTAATTAGCTTTCTACTCCCAAGGATTCTCTACAACCTGTTGAGGAGAAAGTTGGTACCCTCACGAAGATAATAGAAGCCATGGGATTCACAGGACCTTTGAAATACAGTAAATGGGTAAAGTTGTTTCAGCTCTTCTCATTTTTCCTTTTAGGCTTTGTGCTTTCTGCCTATTGTAGAAGACTTATAAAAGCTTCTGCCTTGCTTGCTTGAAATTCATATATTATTTTGAGAACTTCTTCAATATGTCCCCATCCCCCTTGATACTTCCAAGTCAGATCAGTATATCATGTGTTGCTGAAATAGTCCTTCAACCTGATCCCTTATGTCTCATAGTAGCAGGCATGGCAATAAGACTGGACTTTCCAGGTCCTTGCTACATGGTGTACTGTATAAATGACATCTCAGGGGTCAGATGAACCAAATGGTCTGATGAACAGCATTCTTCAGGAAGCATTGCTTTGATGAATCCATATTTATAAGGGTTTTCACTGGGTCGTTGTAGTGATTTGCTTTACAATTTTGCTAGCAAGCATCTTTTATTAACTTAATATTTCCACAATTTATTGTAATTCTTATTATGGAGAGATATTTGCTAGCTGCATCACTCCTAGTTAACTCTTGGCTTAGCATATTATCTGTTAAAAAATAGTGGCCATAACTGAGTGAATGTCCTCTCTCTCCATCAGGTATATATTGCTCCTGGGCTTTTATAACATTACCTCTAACCAGTTAAAGTAATAAAACATTAGTAGTTCAGTTCTTCTCAGCTCACTTATCTCCTAGAACAGGTTGAGCACATCCCAAATAAGAAAATCTGACATCTGTCTGTCTGGCTCCTGCCTGTATGGGGAAGCTGAGGTAGAAAAATTGCTTGAGCCCAGGAGTTTGAGACCAGCCTAGGCAACATAGTGAGACCTCATCTCTACAGTAAATAAAATAGTCAGACATGGTGGCATTTGCCTGTAGTCCCAGCTACTTGGGAGGCCGAGGCAGAGGGATCACCCAAAAAGTTGAGTCTCTGGTGAACTATGATCATGACACTGCACTGCAGTTTTGGCAACGCAGTGAGACCTTGACTAAAAAAAAAAAAGAAAAGAAAATTCGAAATTTAAAATGCTCCAAAATCTAAACCTTTTTGAGTATTAGCATGTCGCTCAAATGAAATGCTTATTGGAGCATTTTGGATTTTGGATTTTCAGATTTGGGATGCTCACCTAGTAAGTACAGTGTAAATATTCAAAAATTCAAAACACTTTTGGTCCCATACATTTCAGATAAGGGATATTCAACCTGTACTACCATATCTATCACTATGACGGGGATGCCTTTTAATGCCTTTCAGAGTTGTTAGAATATTGGGTAAGGCTAATCAATCATAAGTTATAAATCAAAGCAAGCTAACTACAAAGCAGTAGGGAAGACTTTCTAGAAGTGGTTTCTTATGATGTCTGGTTCTCTTCCTAGCAATTCTCACTATAGCAAATACAAGGAGGGGGGCACTAAAAACCAGAATTTATTTATAAAATATTGTGTATTAGCCGGGCTCGGTGGCTCAGCCTGTAATCCCACGCCTTTGGGAGGCTGAGGT